GGTTGGAGATGATGTGACACGATCTTATATAATGACTTCAATGAGGAACCATGTAAATAACAAGTTAAAACCAGGACAACTGTGTGCATATATGTACATATTTATATTATATATGTATGATAAAATATATTATATATAAAATTTATATCCAATTCTCAAATATCCCCATATTTTGTTGTCCGATGTCGTAACTTATTAGAATGTTTTGGAGTCTGATTTTAAGCCACATAAAACGACGCGGTGGCCTGGATTTGGCCCGGCAACCTCGACTTTGACATATGTAGCACCTGTAGTACCTATGTCTTCCTGTGTTTGTCCTCGTTCCTGCCTGCGCTCCGTCATTGAGTCATTGGGTTGTTTGGTTTGTGTCGGAGATTGAGTCGTGTTTTTTTCCATTTTTTAAATGGTTATTTATTGTTTAATTTCCATATAACAGCATCGTTCATGGATCCACTGGTGTCTGTGCTGTGTGTGTGTTGGTCTGAGGCCGGTGTGAGGACGACAGGTTTGATCTGCTTCAGCTTCCTGTGAACCAAGATGATCGTAATGATATCAGCGTCGTAGTTTTGAGGCTGGTGAATAAAACCCAACGTTAGCGGCGGAGTTTTTCGCCCTTGACTAATTTCTGTGTCACCGTCAGGTGTTCAGTCAGCACCTCGCTCTCTCAGACCTGTAAAAGCGTTTGCTGTGAGGTCACTTCCTGTGTTTTGATGAGTCATATTTGAGTTGATTTCTGTGGTGTCGCTGCTCAGTCGACTGTTTTTCCTCTCACTCCGTCTGGGCTCAGACACTACAACCTGCAGCGAGACTAATGAAAAGGTGACGTTCACTCTAACTCCTCGTTCAGGTGACGTCCAACCAGGCAAGAACTGAAACATGTCACTGTGAAAAACTGAGCGAATCTGTCGTCTGGTTACAAACCTTTCACTTCTCCTGGACTTGGATGTTTTTTTTTAACTTCAGTCGTTGGCTCTTCTTTGAAACATCAGCTAACGTTGTCAGGCTACGGAAAACTAGCGTCACTCGCGCAGGTTTTCGTGCTGCCATACCTGGTCAGCTGACGCGTGGACAACCTGTCTGTGTTTTAGCATCACGTGAATCTCCAAGGCTTCAGTGCTGATCAGAATTATTGATCGGAGCCAATAGATCGGTACGAATGAGTCGTCAAACAAAATAACTGGACGATCAGTTTGAAAATGTA